TAGTGTTTTTGTACTTAATAAAGTAGTATAGCATTACTTTATAGTTTAAGTTCTGATAAAAAGCACATTTTCAAATTAATATAGTTGCCAATCTTACTTCCTTTTAAAATTGTATAGAAACCTTGGGCCTAGACCTTCATGACAATTTCTCTGATATATTATATAAAATTACTTTTTAGAGCCACACATTACAATGACTTCTTAGGGGTAGTTTAAAAAAATGAAATTCCATTTGATTAAGCTCATTAAAGAAGAGATTTTTCAAAATAATGTAATTTAAAAATTGTTTGGAGACTTATCACATAAAATAAGAAACATCCAACCAAAATTGTCAGCAGTTCTGTTCCTCCCATCAGTTTCCTCAGTGCAACCCAGCAGGGCCTGGCTCCCCAAGTTATTTACACTTTCCCTAATCATCCCCTTTCCACAGGACACAGAGCTCAGTAACAACTGGCTAGTACACTTTTATTTCATCACTATTTTATTTGCCTTCCTTAACGGGTGAACCATCTCAAAATAGGTTCCCCCCAAGCTCATGCAAACCCACAGATCCACCAACTGCATTCATTACCACTCTCTTCCTCCATCTCTACATTGTCTCACACAAACACGAATTATCAATGAATCAGTGTCTATGAGAATGCAGCTCCAGCACATAAAATTACTTAGTTATTGGTATCAGATAGATCTAAAATTAAACGATCCTGGCACCAGTTAAAACTCAGGAAACTAGGGCTGGAGAGATGGCTCAGCGGTTAAGAGCATTGCTTGCTCTTCCAAAGGTCCCGAGTTTAATTCCCAGCAACCACATGGTGGCTCACAACCATCTGTAATGAGGTCTGGTGCCCTCTTCTGGCCTGCAGTACATACATTTAGACAGAATACTATAAACATAATAAATAAATAAAATAAACATTTAAAAAAAACTCAGGAAACTAGATGCTGGTGAAGCAGAAGGAATGAGAATGTAGACCAGAACTGTCAGGTAATCTTAAGAGATTATCAACTGCTCTTTGAGAAGGCAGAGTTGTAAAAGGTGGGTATGGTTGCAGGGAATTAAATTCTTTTGTGGGAGGGTAGGGGCGCAGGGTTTCTCTGTATACAGCCCTGGCTATCTTGGAACTCTGTAGAAGAGCCTGAACTTGAACTCAGAAATCTGCACCTGCCTGTGCCTCTGCCTCCCAAGTGCTGGGATTAAAGGCTTGTGCCACCATGCCTTTAGAGAAGGTTCAAATCTGTGGTTCGAATGCTTCCAGTAAAGGAAGGGGAGTACTAAACAGACCAGGGTGCTGGGGCAGGACTCACCTGAAAGGCCATAGATTCCTTCTCTGAGCATGAGCGGCTCTAGGAGGACTGCACCTACAGTCCTCAGGCTGTATCTCATTAAGGGAACACAACTTAAGTTCTCTGTCCAAAAGCTACAGGTCATCTAAGCAGGTAAAGGCTCTTGCTGCCAAGTCGGACAAGCTAGTCTGGTTCCAGGACCCACGTGGTGGTGTAAGCAGAGGATGGACTCCCAAGGCTGTGCTCTTGTCACCACATGCATGCCATCCCCCCACAAATAACAGAAGAACTGTGTTTGTTGTTGTTGTTTGGAGACAGGGTCTCTCTATGTAGCCCTGGCTGTCCTGGAACACACTATGTACACCAGGCTAGCCTCGAATTTACAGAGATCACCTGCCTCTGCCTCCTGTAATAAAGTTTTTTTTTAAGCTAAATGAGTTAACTTTTTTCCTTAATAGTCATATTATCAATTTGGTATATATTTCTGTTACCCAATTTTAATTTGTATTCGGTGTTAGAATTTACTTTTTGTATAAGTTTTTGAATATATGAAACACGTACATAATTCAAACAGAAAGAACTCCTAATTCACTAAAGTGGTGGCTCCGTTCTCATATAAGCTCTGCATTGGCTGGAATGCCTATTCCGGTGCGGTAACATCTACACTTACAACATAAAAGTACACAGTATTTATAGTCAACTCTAAGACAGCTGCTTGTAGCTACTAAAAAGACTATAGCTATGGTAGCACATGCCTTTAACCCCAGAACTTAGAAGACGGAGGCAGGTGGATCTCTGTGAGTTCAAGGCCAGCCTGGTCTACAAAGTGAGTTCTAAGACAGTCAGAGCTGCACAGGGAAACCCTGTTTTAAAACCAAAACCAAAACAAAAGTTCTTCAAGAGTTAGCACCATAAATTTTGTATGTGTGCACACCTGTAATCCTCAAACAGACCTTTGAGTTATGTTACCCATGAACACATGCTAAGGAATGGCCCAGGCAGAATCTGACCACAAGCTCCAGACACCAGCTTTGTATGATGCAGAGGACTGAATTTCAGGGCCTTAAATTTTTTGGTCATAGTAAAAGGTTTCTGAAAGCCCAATAAACAAAATTCAGACAACAACCCTGAGGTGTTTTCAGTCATGCTGGCCTGTGTTCTGCATCCTTGTTTCTAAACACATTTGCATTAAATGTTGTCTTTCCATGCAAAGCGAACAACACTGGCTGAGATACCTCAGTTCAGGTTTGAGACTCCTCTATGTTGTGAACTGTGGTGTTTTTATTGTACACACAGACATTTCTGAACATAATGGAAAACAAAGACTTTTAGTGTTTTTCTTCAGCATTTATCAAATTATCTTTGGAGTACACTATGTCAAAAAATGTTTGATTTTAAAAACTGTTTGAGTTGCTGACTTCAGTTTCATTAATGAAAAGTCATCAAATGAATTTTGGCTTGGGATTAGGACAGAACTGCCAAGCACTCCTGCAATGCAGAGCCCACATCTGCCATTTTGTACCATGTATTATGTGAAGTAGCATTCTCAGCTCTGACAATCATCAAACCAAAATACTGATCAACTGAACAATGTCGATCACGCTCTATGCCTTACAGTAGCAAATATTCAGCCAAGACGGAATTCTCCATGCAAAATAAGTACGTCCTTCTCATCAATATGTAAATTTGCTTTTGCCTTTGTTATACAGTAGAATTATATGTATACTAACGGGTTATTTTAAAAATAAATTTCTTGGGGCTGGAAAGATAGCTCAGTGGTTAAGAGTATGAGAGCATGGATTTAGTTTCCAGCACACTTGTCTGGTAGCTCATAATTGCCTGTAACTCCAGCTCCAGGGGATGCCACACCCTCTCCTGGCCTCTGTGGACACTGCACTCATGTGTGGACACACATACACACACACAATTAAAAACAAAAATCTTAGAATAAGTGTGACTAATTACAATGTTGAATGTTTAGTTTGCACACATCTTCCACAAGCCTACTATGATGCTTAATACTGTCCATTCGACAGGGTCTAGAATCACCTATGAGACAAACGTTCATACTGTCCACTCGACCTCGACAGGGTCTAGAACCACCTATGAGATAAACCTTCATACTGTCCACTCGACAGGGTCTAGAACCACCTATGAGATAAATCTCGGGCATGTCTATAAGGAGTTTTAGAAAGGGTTAATTGATGTCAGAAGACTCATCCTAAATGTGGGCGACACCATTCCAGGGGCAAAGGTCCTTGACTGAATAAAGAGAAGAGGAGCTACAATCCAACTCATCTATCGCTGATGCAAATACAAAATAAAATAAAATTGAAAACATTTTGCAGATACAAAATGCTGCCTGCTTCTACCTTCCCTGCACGACAGACTGACCCTCAAACTGTAAGTCAAAACAAGCCTCTCCTTTCTTAAGCCGCATTTGTCAGGTATTTTGTTAAAGCAATGAGGAAAATTAACACATACATCTACATACGTGGTTCCTGGTGCAATGGGGTTGCTATTGGAGAGTAAACATGAGCAATCTGCCCTCCCTCAATCCCCAAATACAGGGTCTTGCTTTGAACCCCTAGCTGGCCTGGGCTGTGCAGTACAGGGCAGCCTCTAAGTTGTACTGCTCCTCCTTGCCTAGGATCCCAAATGCCGGGACTACGGTGTGCTCTCCTATGCTTTTTCCTTGCATTCTTAGCTAACCACATACTTCTTGCTATAAATGTGTGTCATAGGACATAAAACTTCTATGGAACAACTAAGAAATATGCATCCTTAGGAAAACCACTATATCATACTTTGCCATGATTCATACAATTTTCAAAAATACTAGATAAATATGCCCTGAATCTCTTGTGTGTCTATGCATGTATGAATACTAGTCCAAAACAATTGCATTAGTCAATGTCAATAAATTCAATCAACATTTATTTAAAAAAAACTCCTTCAAGCCCCATTGAAGTGACTGAATATTCAGACAGACAGACAGATACATTAGAATTATATAGCAGCATGGGGAAAGGGCAAGGACTTGTCAGGAAAGCACAAAGTTAATAAGTTTCTGGATGTCTAAAAGAGAAGCAGACTAACAGAAAGGGAGCTACTGTCCCTGTATCAACATGGGCAAAAGATGGTCATTTTTATTACAGAAGTGAATGGATTTTCCAAAAACACCCAGCAAAACCACCAGGTCAGAAAACCAGCAGCTGAGTTCAGGAACAAGCTGTGCAACAAGTCAGTGGGGAATGAGCACTGGGAACGGCACTTTTCGGCTGGGTATGGACTGCTTGAATAGTCAAATTGGGAACTTGCTGCAACTGGCTCTTAAGAAAGAGGCCAGAGAACAGTGAGCCATGAAGGAGAATAAACACACTATTATAGTTAACTCTGGGCTAAAAAGGGACAAAAGTATTGTCAACTACTTCCAGAGGCAAAAAATAAATAAAAGAAATAGCACAGTGCAGGGAAACCTATAATGCACCTACCATCTCTGATAACAAGAATGTTAAATCTTTTTTTTTTTTTTTTGATTTTCGAGATTTCGAGACAGGGTTTCTTTGTAGTTTTTGGTGCCTGTCCTGGAACTAGCTCTTGTAGACCAGGCTGGCCTTGAACTCACAAAGATCCTTCTGCTTCTGCCTCCCTAGTGCTGGGATTAAAGGCATGCGCCACCACCGCCAGGCAGCGGCAAGAATGTTAAATCTTAAGTGCTTTTTTGGTTCATGAAAGTCAACACTGGGTGCTCACGCCACTGTGTGACATGTGACTCTGCAAACCTTATTGGGATGTTGGCACATTACCTGTCTGACATGAAAAAAGGGGGGAATTAAAACATTGCATTGTGTTTATTTACAGAAGTAAAGAGCTACAGGATGATCTTAAGGACTAGTTTAGGAATCTAACTAGTATTGACAAGGTAACTGATCAACCTATATATTATAATATATATTTCATCTTATATTGTTTTAAAGTTGGGAATGATATAGGGTAGCTATACCTTATTTTTCAAATGAAAACCAACTGATGTATCAAAAAAATTAGTCTATGAATACATAACTACTGAAGAACTTGATATATGCATATATATATCCCAGCCCCTTTCCCCTTGGGCATTCTTACCCTTCCTTCGTACAGAACATAGCTAAAACAAACTCCTCACCCAGCCACTGCACTCTGTATGTGCCTACTCCTACTCTTCAACTCCGGTTCAAAACCTTTGTGTCAACCATGACACCTCCTTTTTTCCTGCCATCTGCAAGCTTGGGCTGAACACTACCTAATATAAAAAGAATAACACATCATATCCCCTTTCTCAAGGAACTTTTTAAAAATTCTGTACTGTAATAGCTGGGTATGGTGGCTCACATCTGAAATCCCAGCACCAGGCAAGCTGAAGGAGAATTATACTGAGTTCAAGTCTAGCTTGTAACTTACAGGGCTATTGTGTAAGACCTTGTCTCAAAAGAAACCAAAGCAAGAAAAATCTATCTGTCTGTCTGTCTACCTACCTATACACACACACACACACACACACACACATGTATATGTGTGTTGCAAGAAACACACGAATCTATCTACATAAACATATGTATATATGTTGCAAGAAACACACAAAAAACCACGACACAGGCATGGTCGTGGCACCTCAAGAACTGTGCAAGTTGTTAAGGTGAAATCACAAAGGCTTTATAGAGAAGCCATTGAAGATGCTTGCCAGATGGGCAGGGTGCAGATAAAACAGGGATCAGAATGAACATGAGGGCTTTGCAGGCTGAGAAAATTTAAGTAAAATATCTGAGGTAAGAAGAGAGTTGTACTTGGAACATAGTAACAAAGAGATGCTAGAATACAGAGCTCTTTAAGGAGAAAATGGGACCAAAGATTGAGGAGAGAGTGAGCCACGCTCATAACTGCCAAGTGCCTTTTGTTTTACGCACGCAGATGCACTCGTGGTGTCTGTCCAAGTACACATGCAGTGTTAAAGGCTAGGATCAGCTCTGCGGGCAAGTCCCATAACTCTTTCATCCCTCTGCATGGTGAAAACAGTACTTACATAAGGATATTGCGAGGATTAAATTAGTTAACACAGATAAAGCCTGGAACAGTATCTGTCACAAAGTGCTATGCTAAGTATTTACTATGATTATGCTTGTACTCTGAAAAGATAAAATTAGCAGCAATGTAGAGGAATACACTGGAACAGAAATTTCTTTGCTGTACCTCCTTTACTCATGCAGTTCCACTTTCAAGGACAAGTACTGCAGAAGACCTCCTGATTATTTAAATACGCATTATTAAATGCGTCACCTGTTATGTTCAAAACCTACTTCCTTTTCAATCATCTGGACCATCTGGACTATTTTATCTTTGCGGAGTACAGGTACTTCAAGGATAATTTTTTTTCATGTGCTTAAATATAATCTTCTAAATAGGAGCTGGAGCTGGCTTGGTGGTTGAAAGTACCTGTTGTTCACACAGAAGACTGGGTTCAATTCCAGCACCCACACAGTGGCTCACAACACTCTGTAACTCTTAGTCCCACTGTATCTGGAGTTGTCTTCTGACCTCAGTAGACACTAGCCATGCAAGTGGTATACATATAAAGATGAAAGCAAAAACATTCATATGCATCAAATAAATAAATCTAAAGAACTCTCAGGGCTAGAGACAGCTCAGTGCTTAAGAAAAGCACTGGTTACTTTTTGAGAAGATCTGATTTGATTCTCAGTCTCTACATGGCAGCCTACAGCCATATGTAACTTCTATTCCAGGGGATCCAACACCCTCTTCTGGCCTCCATAAGCACCAGACTCACAGAAGGTACACCAACATACAAGCAGGCAAAACACCATACACATAAAATAAATGAAATATTTTTCAGTTTAAAAATCCTTCTGAGTATTCAATACAAGTTCCTTTTGAACCCAACACTTGTGTATCTTTTGTTGTGAGAATGGAAATAAGCCCAGTGATTTAGGGAATACCTGGGGGACAGCAAGGAACATTCATAATAAGATAAAGATTTGCTTTATCAAAAGGACGGAAATTAATAAAGGAAATAGTCACATTTTGCATCATCTATGAGGGGCTTGAGACTGCCATTGTAAGTTAGTAAACTGATTAACGCAAGTGACCTGAATATGGTCTATTTAAAGAGAACTTCTATCATCATGGGTGAAACTGACCCCATGAGGCTACAAAGTAAACAGTATCTTGCAAACAAAGAGCCTAAACAAACTGCTCTTCCCTTTTCTTATCTGAGTCATCCAACAGCACTTTTCTTTACTCCTGTTTAATCTCTGGCTATAGGCTAAGGCCTTAGCTGAGCAGATCTATATTAAAGTCAGCAGCTGCCTTCTGCTCAATATATACAGCAGCAAGTGTCAAAATGCCAAATGTGACATTTTATTTATAGCCGAGTCACATAAAGAATCACATAAAAAAGTGCAGCACGTTTCTAATTAAAAATAAGTCAATTAAAGGAGTAAGTCAAAGAAATGTCTACCTCAAAACTGAACTGTGGTCATGCACTGAAACATACAGAAGCAAATCATACATGCTGGCTGGTGCATACACACAGACACATGGACACACAGATACAGACTCTCTGTCAGTTCTGGAGCAGTCGGTCTCAGAGGGACATCATAATTCTCCTTGTTCTATGAAAAGCTGGCAAGCACTCAGTATAACTTACAGTTAACAACAGAGCACACAGAAGGCCAGTATTAGAGACATTATTGAGAAGTGACTCCTAGTCAGGCACTTCTTTATTAGACTATGGTCTAAACATGAAACTGCCCCAATTTTGTTACAAAATGGAATGGCTTCTGTAATTATTAAGCTTTGGAAAATCTAGGAAGTACTTAAGAACCAACCAAACAAAAAACATCAGTAGCACAAGTTTGAAAGAAAACATTCTGATAACCAAAGCATTATGAGCGAGTAAAGCTGTATGAAATGACACCTATATGTATGAGTATGAGCTGACACCTCCATGCGTGAGTATGAGCTGACACCTCCATGCGTGAGTATGAGCTGACACCTCCATGCGTGAGTATGAGCTGACACCTCCATGCGTGAGTATGAGCTGACACCTCCATGCGTGAGTATGAGCTGACACCTCCATGCGTGAGTATGAGCTGACACCTTCATGCTGCCACTGTGTGACCTGAGCTCCTGGGGAACAGTTAGGAAGGCATAAGGTCAGTCTATAAAAAAATTACCCACAGGTTACTTAATTTAAGATTTATGATGCAATAACAATTTCACAGACAACAGCATTTCACTATGCACCCAATGTCCCCCATAATGTTATATATGATGCCCACTGGCTAAGTATATGCAGTGAAGTGTGGGGAAAATAAACTCACATGTGTATTACAAAAGCTGTGAAACCAAAAGAAATACTCAAAGAGCTATCTCAGCCAGAGTGATGGCCACACTTGTGATTCAGCACCTGGGAGGTCATCCTCAGCCTGGAATACATGAAACCCTTTTTTAAAAACAAAAACCTGCAATCGGTCTAAAAATAATAACATGGCTAAAACTGACAATGGAATGCAACTATATGTTGCTTTGTTCTAAGCCTGTGCATCTCTCCCAGGATGTTTGGATACCTCTCACTTGGAAAAATTTTCACTCTGTTCTAGATACACATAAACCCAAGGCTCTCTTAGTTTGGGTGCTTACATGTATCCCATTAAGTTTATATTGCCACTACACTACTGTGCAGTCCTTCTGCTCAGAATGGACCCCGCTGGGTTTCAAGAACAGTCAACTACAGACATACCATGCTGTCTTAAATCTTCTTTTGCAACAAGGCAGGGCATAAGTAAACAAATAAGACAGACAATGCAAAAGAGAAACCCTCAAAAAGCCAGGCGTCTGGCTTTCTCTATAATAGTACTAACTACGATAATATCCAGGCATTTGCTGTGTATCAGACAATGTGTTGATCCCTCACTGCTCCATTTTTTCTTAATGACCATCTTTTGAGCAAGGCAGAGATGTCTCACACTTTTAATCCAAAACTTAGGAGGCAAAAGCAGATGGACCTGAGTTGGAGGCCAGCCTGATCTACAGAGCAAATTCCAGGATAACCAGGGCTATACAGAAACTCTGCCTTGAAAAATAAAACAAAACAAAAATCATCTTTTAAGCTATCACCTCTGTTTTATAGCAGAGAGATATTGCATGCCTCAAATCATGGAACTAATAAAGAGACTCCAAGAATCAAAACTAAAATCTGCCTGCCTCCAAATAGCTCTAAAACAAACCCTTATTTGTCAAGCAACGAGTCAAACAACGACACTGATTTGGTCACGCTAAATAGTAAAGGACTGATTCTTGTGACTATTATTAAATCACTTTTAAGTGGGACTATGGCAGGTGCCACCAACCTAATGAATACACAATCAGCCATCACTTGGCAATTTCCTTTTCTGAATTTCTTCTTCTTCTTCTTCTTCTTCTTCTTCTTCTTCTTCTTCTTCTTCTTCTTCTTCTTCTTCTTCTTCTTCTTCTTCTTCTTCTTCTTCTTCTTCTT